GCTTATTACTTTTAGAGAACAGCATTCTACAGAAAACAAGATTAATTCTGTAGGTACTGACACCTCACCATCAGTTCTACAAACTTATAGACAACTCATACCATACACACCAGTATGCATAGGTATTATCAACTTCTCCTCTTAGAAAGTTTCATGATACCAAGTCTCCAACAATATTTTCTAATAAACCAACACAAGCTTTCACCACATACATTTCCCAAGAAAATCTATCTTCAGATCCAAATTCAATTTATATTACAACCTGTTACTGAGGACACATTACTAGTCAACAAAAGCACAGGTTTTGAAATTAAGACTGTTTCCAATTCTGTAACACATTAAGTATTAGCAGGGTGAGTTTTTTACATTACTACACCAGTTTTTCAAAAGATACTGGAAGGATCAAATGAGCTAATATTGGCAAAGTGTTTTATCACAGTGGCAGGAGGGCTTTACACAAGCATTTAACATCTACAACTCAGCAGCTGGCCTGCATTTTCTACCTTTTATCTATTTGAAGATCAAACATTAAATAATTCTCATTTGTAAATGTAAAAACTAAATGGTAGCTTGGGGATCCGCAAGGAGGGAAGGCCTACACTTCCGGGAATGGAGTCCCTACCTGTACTTCCAGGGAAGAAAAGTCCTTGTCAAGGTCCCCACAGGTGCCTAAAGGTCAACCAAGGAGGATCAGACCTGCCTCAACCTTTAACCCCCATGCCCTGAATCTATAAAAGGAGCCCTCCCAATCCTGACTTCCCTGGCCCCCCGCTCTGTTTGGACTGGGGAACCTTGCCCGGGAGCGGAATCCCAATAAAAGCTTGTGAATTAACTGATTCTTCTGCCTGGGAAGATTTGTTATGTGACGGGCACCTTGCACTAAAATCCTTAAGTTGTGCATGCTATTTTACCCCAATATAGGATAAATTTTAAAATGTTAGTACCTGTTTTCAAAAGATGTTTGGTCTGTCCTCCTTAAGCACATTCATGGCAGACTTACTGTGCCTCTACACCCACCACATACCAGGAATTACACGGAAGAGGTATGCATTCAAGAATCCCAGCTGCTGGAGGAATCTGAGTCAGACTTTTCCCACACTGCAAGAATTCTTGCATGTAATATGGTGTCATATATTATCTGAATTATACTTCATTAAAATACTGAAAATTGACAATTTTACTGTTGCTTAAAATATAAAAATACATATACTTGAGTCTTCATGTATAATTCTATTATTTTTTAAATGAATTGTTAAAAAAAAAAAAAAAAGGACTGTTCTGCTCTGCCACACCACCAGTCCGTTCATGTACAATTTTGAAGCTATTTTTGTGAGCCTTATCGAAGGTCAACTTAGGCCTTAACACTGAGGATCAAATTACCTAAATGATGTTCATCAATCTATTTCCGAAAATATTAAACTGAGCTTCAAGACGTCTTAGTAATTCATGCTGTCCTGAAACCTAGCTTCATGACTGATCTCTATTAATACTTACTAAATTCTCTGTCATTCTTATGACTTTTTCTTCCTTTTTACTGCCCAACTGCTTTAGTGCAGGGAAAGCGTGCAATAAAGACAACCTAAATTGCCAGTTTTCCTTTAAAATACACATCTGTGTTATCCACTTTTGTGATGGCACATTTTCTTTAAAAAGGGGATTCACTCCAGAATAGGATCTTGTTTCCCTTCCTGCCAAAAGTTAACAGCAAATAATGTAAAGCTAACGAAAATATGTCAAACTCCTTATGGAAATTCTCATGTAATATCTTTAACTTGCTTGCCCTATTATAAACTCATTCATGTGAATGAAGCACGAATGAAGCACAATAAACTGCTTAAAATGAAAAAAACATGTCAATTTGCAGCGAGGGAAATACACAGGCTCAGAAGTCAGAAGCCAAGATAAACCTATACCCAACTCTTGGCTTTAACAATTTTAGCAACAACCTAGGAAAACACTGGCGTGATGGCTCTTCCTTTCATAGGGACAACGTTGTGGCAACTATCTGAATATACACAGAGCATTCAGAAAAGCATCTGGCAAATGGTAAGCATCTCATTACTACAGTTTAATATTTCTAATTATTTCTGCTTTGGGGACCAGAAGTGACTTGTAAAAATTTTGTTAACCTGAAATGTTTTAACATGTTTATCAACAGAATGCAAAATATTTACTGATTATGCACCAAAGTAAAGCAAAGTAAACCATCTACCAACTGATATGTAACAGCTTTCCTTCCTTCCAAAAATAGTATATATAACTTATGAAAAATTAGGCTACAGAAATTGTCTTAAGATACAGTAGAAAGGCAAAGTAAAATTCTGTAATACTAGTTACCCAAGGTAAATATTTAAGACTAAACAAAAATAGTATTACCTGGATTTAACATATTAAAATTATTTTCCAAACTGAGGAAGCACTTAAAGGTTTGAAATGGTGCCAAGGTGGAGATTCTAGAAATACAGGCATGATCTTAAAAATCACTGGTTCTCACACAAATCTTTTCTGCTACCCAACTTACTGGGTAAACAAAGCATCAAAAGGGCTTCACTACAACAAGGATTCTTCTTGAGAGGGCCTAACAACGTTGCAGTGGCTTGGGAGTGGTGCATATTTAGGTTTACAAAATTAGAGTTGACTCTAGAATATCCTTTAGAGAGGCATGCATCCCTTTCCCCACTCCCTTTTTAAATTCACTGACATAAGAATCCTTGCAATCACAACCACTTTTTATTTTGTGAGGCTGTGTGTTCCCTAATCACAATGAACTTTCAATCTTAAAGTAATACAACAGTTTAAAATAAATACTGTCCTGGATTTGAAAATGGCAACAGATGATTACAATTTAACAATTTCTGAACAGAGACTACATCATTTTTGTAGCTGGAAAACTATATATTGAACCCTCCTTAAAATTCTTCCAAAATTTATTCACATCAACAGGACTGAATGAATGGTTAGGAAGTATCATTATTTTAAATTAAAATGTTAACTGAAAGCACCATCAATGATCTCTCACTGAAAAGAAAACAAGGTCAAAATGTTTCTTATGAGTTTTAAGAGCTAAAATAACACTTATGGGCTAAAACACAGAAATACTGTGGTGGCCTAATTTTGTTTACAAAATTTCAATGTAGCCAACACCAGAATTCCCCAACCATTCAACTACAATTCAGCAAAATGTCTTAATGCATTTGTTAAGTATTCAGAATCATAAATACCAACAAACCTGTGTTACAAAACTAACAATTCTTGTTCCTAAACTCTGGATTGGATCTATACAGCCACATTTGAAACAATGACAAAGTTGACTTTACCTACTTTAATGTGTTAAACTAGCACTTAAGTTATTGTTAAATGTCTCACGTAGGATATTGTTTTTATATCTCTCCTATTTAGTATCTCAGCTGTCACTATTTTGCCAAGGTGTTAAATATCACTGAACTGGGAACTGACAGCAGTAAAGAAGTTCTCAAACCTGAAGTACAAATGCTTTCCTGTAAACACCTTATCATCAGAGAAAATTCCAATTATATCAAAATCAGAAAGTGAAACCCTTCAGTTTTCCATGTTACATCTGATTTACTGACAAAAGTATGGCAAAAGTCTCCCAAAAGTAAGGTTCATGACATTTTTCATTGGCCTCTTAAATGCATGATGTAAAAGTGGAAAAAGTAGAATTTAACAGCATAAAGTCTATAATTCTACAAAACAGAGACAAAATTAAATGCAATAAAAGCATATTTTTGAATATAAAAGGAAAATTATAACCCAAGACGCATGGGGGAAAATATTTATGTGGCGTTTTAATCCATATTAGAATTCAGTTGTTGTATCTTGACCATAAATTTAAACAGAAACCATCTTCTGAGATATACATTCTAATAAATGTATCAACAGCACTAATAGTCAATGAAGGGCCCCCAGTTATTTGAAGTTATTAGTAACATTTCATTTTTCTATCCAACAGAAATCTATAGTGGTTTGCCCCAATTACATCGGAAACATTGTCTTATAAAAACTAAATGAAACAAAATTAAATAAAATTGAAGATAAAAATACTCTGAAGTTAAAATAAAGCAAACTATAATCCTTGGCAGATCAATCAGGTAAAAAACATTGGTGAAAGTTGGAAGCACAGGATAACTTACATCAATCTTCAGCACAAAGCACATCTTTGAAAACATGAAACGATGACTCTTTGGAGGACAAGAGCTAAATACCCAAGAATCATCAGGTTTGAAAAATATTGCTTAATCACTTTCCAAAACACAGCTGCAAGAACTGAAGATTTTGTTAAAACTATCAAAGTAATTATATTTATTGCATCTTTAAACAAAAAATGAATAGTGTACCAGTTTCACAAAATATATATTTAGGAAGGGGGGAACCTAAAATATTTATAAACAAGGTATAGACTACATGTGCTTTTCAGAGGGGCTGAATTAAATATAACCAGCTGCCAACTTTGTGCTCTGACATACTTGAATTAGTGGGTATGTGTATACTAAATTCATTTATTTTCGTCTACAATAAATGAAATAAAAACATCACCCTATACAATCCACTATTAGCAGTGAGTACAACAGCAAAAATTATTGTACAATTTATACATACTAAAATATTTTCTTTCTCTAGAAATAACTCAGAACAAAACCTAATCACTGTTAAGACTTAATTTGGGAAATCTCAAATTACAATAGGGAAAAACCAACTCATGGTATATTCAGCCCAAAACAAAGGTTCCCGGTCATAAGGCTATAAGATTAGTAAGTGCAAGTGGTAGAATAAAGCATGCTCAAATTGTATGCCTGGGTCTTTGTATATTTATCAAACTTTTAAATTAAACAAGACTACCTAAAGAAATTTCTTAAGCAAAGCAAGATAATTGGGAATTCTGCATTTCTTTTGCCGTTTTTGTGACCCAACTTACACAATGCGCAAAGTGCTAAGCAACACTACAGAAACACATTTACATCAACACTGAAGACCTGGGGAAATGAAATCCAACAATTTTATTTTAATGAGCTGTATTTTCTAAACTTTTGTTTTATTTTTTCCTGTTTTCATACAGTATTGAAAACAAAACGCGGCACATTCACATTTTCCCGAGGAACTGTAAAGATGATCTCTACAGGGATAAACGTTGTAAAGCCTGAAGCTCAATCAACTGATGTTGAAAACTCTCAAAGGGAGTAAAGGCTTGATCTGAATGGTCTAGAACATGTACTGTAATTTAATAGAAGAGATGGTCGTCTTAATATTAATGATTTAAAAGAACTTCCCAGTCCATGCGAATAGTACAGTCCAAGAGTAAATCAAATTTCTGAGCGCATTTTATGCTACATATGTGTATACTTTGCGATCCTCAGGTGTTCGTGCCAAATATTCTCTCTCAATTAGTCCTTCAATACGTTTCTTAATAACAACTGGGCTTGGTAAGAATCGAGCCTTCAACTGCTGAGTTACCTAAAAAAGAAGGTAAAAAGGACTTATTTCTACCAAAAATTTTATTTTCATATAAACACCAAAAAATACTATCTTTGACCAGAACTAATGTATCACTTTAAGATTCAGGGATAAAACACAGAAAAATTTTAAAGGTTTTATTTAGAACATACTTCCTCACATCAAAATGTATTTTATGCTACATAATGTGTATAAATGTTAAAGTGAATTAGTAGTTAAATTAATTGGAAACCACCTATAATTAACCAATTTGGCACTATTAATTCACAGAACTGGAGTAGCATAATGTGTTTAGGAGCACAATGCTGGACACAGACTACCTGGGTTAAATTCCAACTCTTTATCACTTAACTAACTCTGGGATCTTGGGAAACTTCTGTGAATGCTAAATGAGTTAACAGATGTAATGTCTTGGAATAATGGCCACTCATACCAAGTGCTTGTTTTACCACTCTTCTCTGCATTTCCCAAGGCCCACAGGATTGACAATTCTTTGAAATCTCCAACACTTCATTTAGCAACTAAAATCTACAACATCAATGGCAACAAACCTGCTCTCAACCCACCTGAGATCTCCTTTCCCCTTTAGTCAGTATCTCAACGGACAAGGCACTTTTGGTTTCACTTCATTTACTTCCCAGGACACTGCCATGGATATCCAATCTTACAGTCCAGTGAAACTATCTGGGAAAGCTACCCAGTCATCTAACTGCCAGGTGTTCACCTTGGTCTTTATTTTTGAAATTACTGCCCATTTGCACACCTTGTGATTCTCTTCCCTTGCCATATGATGCTCACTGTGTTTTGTTTTGCTTTGCTTCCATAGCGATGTTCCCGCACTTGCACATAGTTCAGGATTACTGACAGAGCTTGTTAAACCAGACTGCTGGGCTCTACCTGCAGCCGTCTGGGTGCAGCTTGAGTACATGTAGTTCTAACAAGTTCCCAGGTGAGAATGAGGTAGTTGGTCTAGGAATCACATTCTGAAAACAAGGGTTGAAAGGCCTTTCCTCAATGCCATTTGCTATTCTCACTGCTTTCTAAATCACGACGAAGAGGCCTATTCTATAGTTTTCTTTTCTTTTTCTTCAGGCTACCCCCGAGTACCTTAATCCAAACACATGGCTTTAACCTCATTACCACATACTCAATTTCCAATTCAACTTGCAGTCCTCACATTAAAGGCTTCCAACTGACCTAATGGATACTGGCCCTAGATATTCTGAAATACAATAACGTTAATTTGTACAAAATGTTATCAACCAAAATCTGGACCACAGTAGCATATTACCTTTCCCTTTCTGGTTGAGGATCCTCAACTCTTCCCCTCTAATTTACTATCGCCTGCCAATTCTACTTCCCAATTACTTTAATTCACCTTCCTACCCTCTACAAACTCTTCACATAGGCTCTAAGCACTCATCTCTTACTGGATATATTTTAATGGCCTCTTAGTGGGTCTCCTTCTCCTTAAGTTCCCAATTTATAAAATAAAAACACTCAATAAATGGTAAATTAAAAATATTTAAGAAAAAAGTAGAAGTGAAGTTTTTTTTCTTTATTCTTCATGTGAAAATACCCTATTGTCCTTAGAAAGGTATTTTAGTTCAAAGTAAGTGCCATGCTTTTAATAAAGTGGTATGTAACTGTGGCTTACTAATTTAAGTTTAAAAAATTAGCCGAAAACAGTACTTTGCTAAATAAAAGTTGTTAGTAACCTTATTCTCTGCTTCTATGTTACCCCAGTCTTGATGTGTTCTCACCTCTGCTACTAAAACATTGTGCTGCATCTTCTTTCTAGATTTCATTATCCGCACTATAGCAGCTTCTATCTCATGTTTTCTGTCATCGTCTACTTTCTGCCTTGTTTCTTTCCTTTCTGGGTCGGATTCACCTTGTTTGGCAGCAACTAAAATAGAAATAAAAGCATTTGCAATAAATGCAATCAAAACATTTGGCTTATAAGTAATTAATACAGTATTATTTACAAAGAAAAACCAATGGCAACCTCTGAATATATACATACTTATTAATCCAAATACTAAAAAATTTTGAATTTTCAAAAATAAAGAATTTAATATTACGGCAATAAAATAAACTTTCTTTTCATAGAATAAGACACTTCTTTTCCTGAAAGAAAAATGTAGCTGGATCTCTTCAGTAGTAAAATTAACAGCAAACTATTTTTATTATGAGACTTCCACAGGTCAACTAATACTTTACCACCTCAGCTTCAAATTAAACTTCACCAACATTATCTAAAACATGTGAATTGTCATCTAATTCAAAATACAGTTGTAATCTCTACAGCACTGATGAGTGGAAAGAACATGTACTGTCAAGATTCTGTCAGCTAAATAAGTAATTAAAAACACCACTAGGGCATCAGTTAACGGAAATTCCCAACAGTCAAGTTAATTCATTTGTACTTCTTATCTGAATCTTCAACAATTCTATTATCTAACAAATTCTGGTAATACATTTTATGAGCTTTTTATGTCACTATCTTTATCACAAATTCATTCACGCTTTATCAGAACATTACTCTATCCTCCCCTAGTCTTCAAAGCATCTGCTAAGGGAATACAAAAGACAGACCTCTTTCCTACAACTTCATTCTAATTAAAATAGCAGAAAAAGAAAACAGAAGATTGATTTTTGACATATTTGGTCGTTAAAAGGAAACGTGAATTTTCTGGGGGTAGAAATTGGGAAATCACAAACAAGATCTTTGGACACTGCTAACTAAGGCAAGGCAAGAGACAGCACACTCTACAGTTCAGAAAATCATTCTGGTGTGCATATCCATTCAGCTGTTTCTAATTAATTAGAATCCTTCAGTAAAAAAATACTGCTTTCAGCATCATTTCCCAGTGTTATTACTAATTAATATCCTAGCAGGCCAGTGCCGCGGCTCAATGGGCTAATCCTCCACCTGCGGCACCGGCACCCCGCGTTCTAGTCCCAGTCGGGGCACCAGATTCTGTCTCGGTTGCTCCTTTTCCTGTCCAGCTCTCTGCTGTGGCCCAGGAGTGCAGTGGAGGATGGCCCAAGTGTTTGGGCCCTGCACCCGCATGGGAAACCAGGAGGGAGAACCTGGCTCCTGGCTTCAGATCAGTGGGGTGCGCTGGCTGCAGCGGCCATTGGGAGGTGAACCAATGGAAAAGGAAGACCTTTCTGTCTCTCTCACTGTCTAACTCCGCCTGTAAAAAAACAAACAAACAAAAAACAAAAAAAACCAAAACCTAATGTCTTAGCAAAACAGAATGGATGAAAATAACCTATGCATAATAATACTTTTCCTTAAAAAAAAAAAAAAAAGAGGTCATGTGAAAAGTTAAAGTAGAGATACTAGTTCAAATGGAAGTAAAGAGACATAAAAATGAAATAATGTAGAAACTTTGATAGTATCCTAGATTCTAAAAGGTATGAAAGGAATCTTTGAGACAACCGAGGACACAGAAATAAGGTACAGAGATAATATGTAATGCAGTATTACAGTGATGTAGGGAAATATTTCATTCTAAGAAGTATCTGCTGAAGTTTAGAGGGAAAGTGTTGTTTGTGAATCAATTTCAAATGCTGTCACAAAGACATACATACACAGGGGGAGGAAGAGAAAGCATATATGGAAAAATTTCAATGGCTGGTACATAAGAGTACTCCAAAAAGTTTGTGGGAAATAGAATTCAAAGATGTTTATCTTGGTACAAGGAAAAACTGAAATTCACACATATAAGTGGCCTTCAAAAAGTTCAGAGAAAATGTGTATTATGAAAAAACCTATGCATTGATTTTAAAAATTTTTGTATGAAAATATGTATTTTTTAAAATAAGTATTTTATTTAATGTGCTTGGGAAAGCAGGGGAAGACAGCCAAGTGCTTGGACCCCTACCATTCACATGTGAGACCCAGGTGGAGGTCCAGGCTTGGCCCAGCCCTTGCTGTCAAGGCGATTTGGGGAGTGAACAAGTGGACAGAATCTCTGTCTCTTCCTCTCTCTCTGTAACTGACTTTCAAATAAAATCTTAAGAAAAAAATGTTGGGGAAATTTTTTGGCTTTGGTCACCTAAATAGGTGTACTCCTTAAATATGCATAAAAAAAGATAAACGAGAAGACTGGTCATAATACATTAAAATATGATGGCTTTGAAAAATGTGAGCACAGGGCCTCACTCACAGAGTCCAACACAACATTCTGTACTTAACGAGAACAGAGGGGTTTGCTTGTTTGAGGGCCTACAAATATAGCTATATGTATGCTGAGGCAAGAGGAGTTTAAGCAGGCAAGTGGTGAGATGGAGAGTACTGTCACCACTGGAAACTGCTGTAGACTAAAACGAATCTAATTCTTTTCAAATATTGAGTATTGTTAATAATTTTGTTAACTTCTTTACAAAACTGCTACTGCTGGCTACAGCAAAAGCAGCGTAAAAGGGAAAGGTCAGAGTCTGTGTTTTTGATGTTACTGAGCCTTTGGCAATTTAAGAAAACCAACGCACCAACATGGTCACAATATTTACTGCCAAAGAGAAAATTTTCACTTAAAAAAATATGACTCAGAGCCAAGATCATCTAAAACCATCCTCAAATGAAAAATATACTTCTTTGCAGAATTTTATCATTGAAAAGAACTTTCAAGAGCTCATCTAGTCAAATCCTTCATCATATAAAACCAATTTCTATTTTAATCACACCTAACATGCTATACACAAACATGTGCTGCATACAACTTAACACCAAAAACTAAAAATTCAGAAATTATTTTTCCACAATAACTGCTCATTACTGGACATGATGCAATCAGGGATTACAAAGATACTTATCCAGGGCAAAGCAGGGTGAACACAGGTAATTCAGATATATATATACCCATATATTTTTTGTGAAATCTAGGATACAAATGAGCACTGAAATTCCCAATCCAAAACCTGCATCTGCCCAAATCTGTAAGCTTAAAGGCCTTGCACTAGAGGAGAAAAGAAATTATATTCCATGATACTTTAAAGATTGTTTAATATTTCTGTGTCACAAAGACTTGGGCCAATCTGGGCTGCTGAGATTACAATGATACAGATCCCAACTATGAGACAAGCTGATCAGGCTTTAATAGACACTCCACACTGGTTCACAAAGCATATATACAAAAAAATCAAAAAGATCAAGGAGGAAAACAAATGAAATATGTACAAAAAGTTCTTGAATCAATGTATTCTGGTAATCATATATTTTTAACACTAATCTTTCACTAAATATCTATTTTTAAATCAGAAAACTATAGGTATTTTAAAAACTGATCTTACCTAGCTTACTCTAAAATACTATTTTACTACACAGATAAATAAGCTGTAATGGATGAAATAGTACTTGGAAGCTTCTCTAAATAGTAATTTTGAAACCAGACAGTAAACTACATGATTTTTAAATATCCCCAAAAGCAGGGTACTTTCTTCCCCTTAAATAAATAGATAATACACACTTCGCGTTATGTTAAATATATAATCGATACAATTTTTCACTATGAACTTAGAAGCCTATACTACAAGCTGTTCAAAACTGTAATTTCTATGTCTCAGAATTCAAGATAATATATAATTTAAGATTTTGAATCCTAAATGTTTATCAAAACATAAACAGTTGTATTTAAAAGACCAAATTTTACATAGGTAAATTTTGAAAAATGGTAAGTGGGCTTTAAAAATAGACTTCCAGTGTCTATTAGTTAACAAGTTAAAAATAATTTAAGTATTAGCATGTCTGCAAAATTTCATTTGCTGAAAAACAAGGAAAGAAGTACCTTGTTCATATTATGAATTACTTTCCAAAATGCTTATTGTACTTGGATTCAATTACATTCTGATACAAGCATTTATCAATAAAAATTGCTTTATTTCTTATGCGTAAGAATCACACGGCACTAGAAAAGCGTTATTTTTTAATAGAAACAGATGAAAATGTTTTCTAGAGAAAAAAATATAATCTTTTTAAGAGGAAAAATATAATTCCAGATACCTGTTTGAATCTTGACTCTGTGTAGTTTGGATGTGAACTGATCGTTAACTGTAAATATGTGACCATTTTCTATTTCCTTTGACTTGGGCTCTTTGGTAAGAACCCGCTGTGTTGGTTTACCACAGGCGAGGGACTGTAGGGCTCTAACAAGCTCTCTTTCAGGGATATCTGTCTCTTGCTGAATTTCCTGAAATTTCATCAGATTGACATAATTAGACTTATTGGAAAATTAAGAGCACATTAGTTAATTAGCAAGTAAATTGACCAAGCAGTGGTTAGAGCAAGGTAATTCTATTAAAGAAATAATTTACAACAAGAATTCCCTGAATATTATGACTTATCATTAAAATCTCATTTTTTAAACAAACTGAAAAAGGGTGATTTAAATTACAAAATATTAAAACATGTTCTTTTTTGTTCCAAGAGATATAATGCCTCATCCAAATATGTCATCCAGTAGAGATTATCAAGAACCTACTTTAATGTTTAGGTAAAAATAAAGTGTTAACCAACATGTAACTACTGATTTTAGAAACATTTTATAATTTTCCTTCCAGGATGAGGTATACTCCTGTTCACTTAATAACATCTTTCCTAGAAAGAGAGTAAAGTGAGCCTAATCGCAGTTCTTCTATTATACAATTAAAATTCACATCACAGGAATAGGCTTGAGCCTAGCTCCTAGCACTGGAGCAGCTTCAGTCTTATGCTTCCTGCCAGTGCAGGTCCCAAGAGGCAATGGTGACTGCTCATGTAGCTGAATTTTAATATCCACATGAGAGACCCTGGACTGTGTTCCTGGCTCCAAGCTTTGGCCCTGGCATTTGGGGAGTAAACCAGCGAAATGGAGTACAGTCCATCAGTCTTCCATAAATAGTTACAATCTAAGTTGACTGTATTTACTGCCTGTGTGTAATCAAATGAAAACAAAAATCTTAAAATCTGGAAATCAGAAAGATTTCTATTTTCAAGTTCAAGATCCAATTTCAGTGATTATATACATTCCTTTCCTTCAAATGATCCTAAATGTGCTGCCAATTTTAATACCAGAAAATTAAAATAACACTATTATTAGAATGGATATATTATGCATGTTAAAAGTGACTTACATATTACAGTTATTGTTTAACTACATTCAAAAAACCAAAAATACTTTCTTAGGGGCTATTTCTCTGGTAATTACAGCTAATTCTCAGAAGTAACTACTGCAATTCACTATATATCTTTCCATACCTTTTCCTATTCACCTATATAAACATGAATACAAATACACACATTTACATTTATGTATATGAACACACCCTCCTATTTACACCTAATATGAGTGTTGTACATAAATGAGATAATAACATAGGGATTTTTCTACTAATTTCTTCAGATTTTCCACATTAGCATAGATATTAAAGCTACATGGAATTCCACAGCATTGCTATCATGATACAGATACAGACTGAGAGTGGATTCAACTTTGTCCTGCTATACCCATTTCTGTCTTTGAACACAACTGCCAGATTTTTTTAAAGAAAACTTCTATAGAAATATATTGGCTTTCTCCAAGTCATAAACATTTTGTATTTGATGGATACCAACAAACTGCCTTTTAAATGCTTAAAAATGTAACCCGTACAACAATGTATGATATCCATTCCCTCACTCCTGTCTTTAGCACCATATTTTTCTTTTGCCTATTTACTGAGCTAAAAATGCTGTGTCATTTTAATTTGTAACTTCTCAGGATCACTAGGAGAGAAAAACCTATCTTTTTATGTTTGCAAGGCATCTTTAACTCCTCTTCTGCTGTTTGACTACTTAATATGCCTTGAATGTTTTTCTATCCAATCATTGGTTTAATATTGATTTATTGGTGCTCTTTATAAGTTATGGTTTTCCAATTCTGACACATGTTGTAAATAGTTTCTCCTAGTTCCTATGATTTATGATAACACAGATGCTTTACTGAATTTTTATATGGCTAAGTCTGTCAGTCTTTGTGGTTTTTTTTTTTTTTTTGTGGTGGGAGGAGGGCAGGGAAATTTTAAAAATGAGCCTTCTTAAACCAAGGCTATCAAAAATACCCTATTTTATTATTTGTATAGATTTATGCTTATATTTAGAGTTCCACATATATCTGGAAAATCTGTACTTGATTTGATACACACAACTAAGGTCCTCAAAGTATCCTGCCCTCCCAGGATAATAAACCAGTTAACTTAGTTTGACTGAAAAGAAGCTGATCACATTACAAACACCCACAAAGTATACATCAATCTGGTTCTGGAAACTACTTTGTTCAAATGAGCTGTCTGTGCTTTTACTTTGTGGTATGTTTTGCTTTTAGGGAAAATTTCTTCCTGGGCTTCCCAATCTCAATACCTCTTCCTATTTGCAGAGTGGGGAGGCTTAGCCTACTCTTGTAAATTTTCTTATCCTGATAAAATCTGGGATCATCTTCTTGAGTTTAATTTTAAAAATTAAAATTACTTTGGGAATTTTGATTAGGAATTAATCAAATGTATAGGAGCCTTAAAAATGTCAACATCCTTGTAAAATGTTAAGTTCTCACTGAAGCACATTTACCATTTCCTGATCTTTTACTTTTATTGTCTCCTGGATGTAAATCTTCAAGAAGTATTTCTTGTTAGAATGATTCCTAGGAAGATTAGGATTCTTGATAAAATATCCTTTTCCTTATGTTCTTTCCTGTCTAATGCTGGTCTATAGAAAAGGTAGCTTTTTCAACAAAACTCTTAAAAGTCTGATCACCTGATTATCACACACTGCCAAGCTGACAATCATACTGTCTCCAAATACTGTAAATTCCTTCATTATACTTACAAATGTTCACCCTTCTTTTCTAGCACGTTAGTTAGGAGCTGCAGAGCTAGGTGGAAATAGCAAAAGTAAAAGCAGATGTCCTTATTCCTAACTTTAATAAGGTATCTAGTATTTTACTACCAACCACAGTTATACTTAAGTCTCACATTAGATAAACTCTTATGATGTTAAGGGCATTTCATTCTATTCTTAGGTGGCTAAACGTCTCTTACCCTAGAAATAAAAAGGGCAGAGGGAACACGGGTTTGGCACAGTGATTAAGACGCCTTCATTGTACATAGGAGAGCCTGGTTTGAATCCCGCCTTCTCCACTTCTGATCCAACCTTCTGCTAATAAACATCCTGGGAGGCAGCAACAGATAGTTCATGTGGTTGGGTCCCTACCACATGTTGCAGACCTGGATTGAGTCCTGGACTCCTGGGTTTGGCCTGGCCTACTCTGACTGTTGTGGGCATGTGTGGAGTGAAAGAACGCACAGAAGATCTCTGTGTCTGCTTTTCAAATAAAACTGAAATACAAATAAAAAAAATGAGGATTTTCTCCTACTATTTTGTAAATCTATACAGATCATCAGTTGGCTTTTGCCTTAACATGATATCCAACAATTCAGAAAATTGTTAATTTTACTATTATATTTTAACTATATTAATGAATTTCCTCATGTTAATGCTTCTTTGTATTCTAGGGATAAATTCCATTTGGACACAGTGCATTATTCTTTTAATACACTGCTGAATATGACTAACATTTATGACTTATGCATTTACACTGACTAACCCATAGTTTCTTTGCTGTATGTTCCTTGTTCAGTTTTAGTAACAAAATTATATTAACCTCATATATTTGCAAGAGCAGTATGTATACTTGGCTTTCTGAGTTCGACTACTGTTTTTAATTTTTTAATTTGTTAACTGGGTTATTCAAATCTTCTACACCTGCCTGCCTCCCTCCCTGACAACTATTTGGTTACCCAGTAATTTGTGGGATTCCTCTGCGGAACTGTCTCTTTGTATTTCTGCTCATTCTCCCTCAAATATTGTGGTTGTATCACTGATGACTATTATAAATTCTTGATGAAATTTGACAGTTTTCTATTTAAATTCAACTGACAGTTAATATTGCTACTGCCCACAATTACTTTTATATTTAATATTATCATAAAAAATTTTAAAGTACAATAAAGAGCGAGAAGAAAAACATTAATAATTACTATCCATACCTCTTTCAAAAGACAAATGCAAGTTACTAAAGTCCAAAGTAGAGACTGTCACTGTATATATTTTCCCTATTTTTAGCTGTTTTGAATCACAATAAATGTGTATGCACTATATGTGTGTGTGTGTGTGTGTGTGTGTGTGTGTGTGTGTATAAAAGGGTGAAAAGGCCTTAGCAGCCTGACTACTGTGGATTAATTATAACACTGGAAATCAAAGCCACCTACTACATTCAACTTTCAAATAGCTCATAATGATCCTAATGTATGTGTGTGTGTTTTAAGATTTTATTTATTTGAAAGGCAGAGGCATGGGGGCGTGGGGATGGAGAGAAAGGGAGGAAGAGCGGGAGAAAAGGAGAAGGAGAGAGAGAGAGGGAGACAGAGGGGGGGAGAGAGAGAGGGAGAGAGAGGGAGGGAGGGAGGGAAAAAAAGGGAGAGAGAGAGGGAGAGAGAGGGAGGGAGGGAGGGAGAGAAGGAGAGAAGGAAAGAGGGAGAGACGGAGAGAGATTTCCACCTGCTGGTTCACTCCCCAGATGGTCGTAACAGCCAGAGCTGGGCCAATCTGAAGCCAGGAGCTTCTTCTGAGTCTCCCACATAGGTGCAGGGGCCCAGGGACATGGGCCATCTTTTATTGCTTTCCCAGGCCATAGCAGGGAGATGGATCAGAAGTGGAGCAGCTGGGACTCGAACTGGCGCCCATATGAGATGCTGGCACTGCAGGCAGGGCTATGCCACAGTGCTGACTCCCTTGATGTGTTTTCAGCTTGTTTTTTTCTTTTTCTTTTTTTACTCTTTGCTGTCTCACTTGGGTGACCAAGAAAACAAGGAAGTGACAGTGTGTGGTCATACTGCAGGTTCTGACTTGGGCTCTTGGACTGTTGAGCAAAAGGAAGCCATTAGCACATGTGGACAATTAAAATACCCACATGGAAAAGTCTACATGGAGATAAACCAAGGCCTCTTACCTAAAGCCAAAACAACTTTGCAAGCTGTATGAGCCATCATGGAAGTCTACTTCCCAACCCCAGTCAAACCACTTAGATTAATGAAATTCGAACTGACATCTAAATGCAACCTCAACAAAGACCTCAAGCCAGAATCACCCAACCAAGCCCATACTGGATCCCTGACTCTTAGAAACCATGGGAGATGATAAATTGTTAGTGGTTGTTTTAAATCACTACGTTTTGAGATCTGTTATATAGTATTAAATAACTAATATACCACTTTACTGAACTCAAAGAATATTCAAAGACAAAGATTAGTTTCTTTTGAAATTGTCAGAGATGAATACTTTTAACTATCTCTTTTAATTCTGGGAGATGATTTCTATAAAAGAGTTAATAAAATTAAAGCAGCACACTACAGAGAAACACACCATATGACTGTAAAACTAAACTACATGTTCTTCTCACAATGGCTAGATCTGAGGTGTGAACAGCCAAAAGGCTTTGAAGTCATAGGTATGGCTTCTATATATATTATGTGTAGCCTTTAGGCTTGCAACTTAGCTTAAATTTCAAACAGGGGGCCAGCTCTGTGGCGCAGCGGGTTATCGCCCTGGCCTGTTGCCGGCATCCCATATGGGCTCCATTTCCAGACCCAGCTCTCTGCTATGGCCTGGGAAAGCAGTAGAAGACGGCCCAAGTCCTTGGGCCCCTGCACCTGCGTGGGAGACCCAGAAGTTCCTGGCTTTGGATCAGCACAGCTCTGGCTGCTGCGGCCAACTAGGGAGTGAATCAGCAGATGTAAGACCTCTCTCTCTCTCCCTCTCTCTCTCTCTCTGCCTCTCCTCTCTGTATAACTCTTTCAAATAAATAAATAAATCTTTTAAAAAAAATTCAAACAGAGGAATTTTCTATTTTTTTATCTACATCTACTCATTAGCATCAATGATTTGCTGGTTGGAAAAGGGAAAGTTAGCTTTAACCACATTTCTAACAATTCTAATAATGGTTTTGGAAAATTAATTTGCATTTGTGATTATCCTATGTTTTGCCAGTTTTTATAAACTGTGAATGAACATCCACTCTAGTATTTATCAAATAGCCTATTTTGTTTAAAATATGTTGTCCATGACAGTTGTAAATTAAGAACACCTCTGAAAAACATCTGCTAGAGAAAAAATTTAATTCCATTGCTGTCTTAACACATATGATGTTTGAGGTTCTCAATGATTGCTTAATCAATATTCTTGGAATCCGAATCACACTCAAGTTGAAAAAGGTAATAAAAGTGTGCGTAACAATTAGCTACACTGAGGCAAAAAAAAAAAAGTACAAAAGGAAATGATCATATTCTCAAGACAGTGTAAAACTGGTATAAGGACAGACAAACTGATGAAACAGATCAGATACTAGAGAGTCCCACCCATATATGGTCAACTGATTTTTTTTTTTAAATGAAGGTTATTACGGTAATTCAATGAAGAAAAAAACAGTGCTTTCAAAAAATAATGCTAGAACAAGTAAATGATTGTGTGAGGGAAAAAATAAATCTTAATCCTTACTTCATATTGTATAAAAAATGAACTTGATCATTGACCTAAATGTAAAAACTAAAATTATAAGGCACTCAAAAGAAAACAGAACAAAATTCTTGTACTTTTGGAATAGGCTGTGATTTCCTAACCATAAACTATGAAAGAAAAAAGTGATCAATTACATTGTCAGTATTAATTCTGCTCTTCAAAAACACCATTAAGAAAATGAAAAGGGTGACAAAGTAAAAAAATAATCACAGCATACATATCTGGAAAAGGATTCCTATTCAGAATTTATAAACAATTTTTACAACTTTCAATAAAGATATGAGCAGACACTTCACCACATTCCTGGTATAGGAACACATCAAAGACATACATCATTTGTTATTAAGGAAAGAAAAATTAAACCCACAGTGAGATACAACTGCAAACCCACTACACTGATTTACATTATAAAAACTCTGGGGGATGTGGAACAGTTGGACTTCTTTTCCGCTGATAGTAGGAACGTAAAATGGCACAACTGCGTTGGGACACAGTTAACATCCCAAATGTGTTAACAACTCAGTTGGCCATCAATAGATGAATTTATAAAGAAAACAAAACAAAAGATCAGTCAGAAGTAAAAAAGGAGGGAGTACTAATCCTATACATGTAGACACACGGATGAATCTCAAACTGTACTATGTGAAAGAAGCTGAACACGAACAACACATATTATATGATCTTACTTAGATGAAATTTTAGAAGAGACAAAAACTAATCGACAGTGATACAACACACATATCTGGCTGTCTAAGGAGGTGGGAAGGAATCAACTGTAAGGGAGAGAACGATCCAACATGGGAAGCGAGATACACAGCAGACCCATAGAATGCCAGATGTCCTAAACAGCACTCTGGCCTCTCAGAATCAGCCCTTAAGGCATGCGGATCTGGCTGAAAAGCCCATGAGAGTATTACAGGCATGGAAAACCAAAACACTCTGGCAAAAAAACAAAACAAAACAAAACAAAACAAAACAAAACAAACAACCCTACATGAAAGATCTCCGCGAGTGAGATCCCAGTGAAAAGAAGGAAGTAGCTTTCTCTGAAGGGAGGAGAGAACTCCACTTTGACTATGACCTTGTCTTAAATATGATCCGAGTCGGTGAACTCAAAAGGCTTCCATAGCCTTGGCAACTCATGACAAGAGCCTAGGGTGATTACTGATGCCATAAACAAGAGTGTCAATTTGTTAAGTCAACAACAGGAGTCACTGTGCACTTACTCCTCATGTAGGATCTCTGTCCTTAATGTGCTGTACATTGTGATTTAATGCTATAACTAGTACTCAAACAGTATTTTTCACTTTGTGTTTCTATGTGGGTGCAAACTGTTGAAATCTTTACTTAATATATGCTAAACTGATCTTCTGTATATAAAGAGAATTGAAAATGAATATTCATGTGAATGGAAGAGGGGAAGGAGAGGGAAAGGGGAGGGTTGCGGGTGGGAGGGAAGTTATGGGGTGGGGGGAAGCCATTGTAATCCATAAGCTGTACTTTGGAAATTTATATTCATTAAATAAAAGTTAAAAAGATACAAAGAAACCTGGGGGAAATAATTTTTTTTTTTAAAGATTTATTTATTGGGGCTGGTGCCATGGTGCACCAGGCTAATCCTCTGCCTACGGCACTGGCATCCCATATGGGCATTGGTTCTAGTCTCGGATGCTCCTCTTCCAGTCCAGCTCTCTGCTGTGGCCTGGGATAGCAGAAGATGGCCCAAGTGCTTGGGCCCCTGCATCCACTTGGGAGACTGGGAAGAAGCACCTGGCTCCCGGCTTCGGCTCGGGCCAGCTCTGGCCGTTGCGGCCATTTGGGGAGTGAACCAACGGAAAGAAGACCTTTCTGTCTCTCTGTCTGTAACTCTGTCAAATAAATAAATAAAATCTTTAAAAAAATATTTATTTATTGTTTTTTGAAAGGTAAAGTGACAAAGAGAAAGGAGAAACAAAAAAAGAAAGAGATCTTCCAGCTGTTGATTTATGCCCTAAGCCACCGCAAGGGCCAGGGCTGGGACAGGCTGAAGCAAGGAGCCTAAAATGCAATGCTGGTCTCCCACATGGGTGCCAGAGGCCCAAGTGTATGTAGGACATCATCCATCCACTGCTGGACCGGAAGTAAAGCAGCCAGGACTGGAAATGGCACTCCAACATGGGATTCTGGTGTCAAAGGCAGCAGCTTAACATACTGCATCACATTGCTGGCTTTTTTATTTTCTGTTTTTTAAAGATTTACTTATTTATTTGAATAGTAAAGATGGGAGGGGAATAGAAGAGAGGGGAGACAAAGAGATTGGGAGTTAATATTCTTGATTACATTGTACACATGTTTAAAGCTCATCAAATCATGTGCTTTCAGGGGCTATGTTCTATTACATGAAAATTATGCATCAAAGAATTGCTTAAAAAAATAAACCAACAAAAAGAAACATGACCCAAGAAACGTATGGCCCAGTTTTATGCAATTTTCTATAAATATATTCTGAAAAACTATCTTAGGGTTACTCAAATAAGACTCCCACAATGAGAGAAAGAAAACAACTGGTTAAAATGTATATAAGCATAATCCATACCTCAAATGTGTATTTTTCTCTATTATTAAAAAGCATTAATATGGTCATCTGGAAAGTAGAGACTTGTAAAATGTGCTTCCGTGTATTAGAGCCAGTTACTTGTGCACCTCCAACACCAACTTCAGATCCATCTTCCTGTTTGAATTTTTTTACAAAAAATATAAACAAGATATAATTATCTCCTGATAATTTTAATGTATGTTTCAGAAAATTCCTGTCATTTCTATCCCTTAACACTACTTATTCCTGCATCAAAAGAAAATCCTATACATACAAAAACAAATCTTTATTTAGGATTGTCCTTTCTCCTTGCATTGTGAATATTTTAATGTATCTGAGAAAATAATTGAGCACCAATTCCCTATATTTAAATTTGAAATTATTTTAACAGTACTCACCACGATGACAGTGATAGAACACACAAAGTACTTTAATTAAGAAGGCATATCATTAATGCATCACTGAATTTTTTAATGACATGAATGCTTACGTATTTCAAAAATTTCAAGTACTAATTTTCTGGTTTGTGGCTGATCAGATATAAGGATTGCATACTTTCAGATCAACTTCATTTTCCTATTTTATGCAATACTGTCTCAAGTTTAATTTTAAAAATATAATGTATAATTACACTAGCATTATTTATTCCTTAAGGAAGGCTACTAGCATAGTCTTCATATTTTCAAATAAAGTTAACAACTGAGGTAAAAAAGTAAAATATCCAAGCCCGTATTTTAACATTTTTAATATTTGAAACAGATAGAAAATATGAATTAAAAATGTACCTGAGTCAACAGAAATCATCATAAGCTCTAAGGACAAATTTTCAGTAACTTAGAACATTCAAACCATCAAAGTTACCTTTTTAACTGGTCCATAAAAAGTGGCATTGAGATCTGCAGAACCCATATGATGCTGGAGTGTGAGCTGTCGACCACTGTGTTTGGCTAAGTAGAACCTTAAGCAAACCAAACCAGGTTTTAGAGAAGCAGAGAATTTATATACAATTTGTATTTGCAATCACACAATTTATACATGTGAAATTACAAACTGCAGGATAATAACTCTTAAATATAAATTTAATGAGAACCTTAAAGGAAACCCGAAGATTTAATAAATTCAATTCCAATTTTTACAAAAGAGGAAACAGAAAAGGTAATGGGGGAGTTGAGACTTCTGCAACTTTGCTAGATATTAAAAAGATAAAGGTAGTACACTTATTTTTGGACAATTATTTAGACTGAAAATGCACATATGATTTAGGTTTACCTTCTGAATATCTCAAAAGCATGTCTTGGTGCTGGTGGGATGTTGCACTTTGGTGTAGCCGACTGAGTGGGCCAATAGCCTGTTGTGAGCACCCGGACTGTGAGATCAACACCACCTAAGGATACCTATGTAAATCAGAAAGACAATTCCCACAAATTAATTAGGATCTGTTACCCATTCCATAGATATGGCACCAGATTTATCAAAGTAGTTGTATCAAAATATATAAATGAATGTCCAACATCTGGTATATAAAACAGACTTTCATAGAGGTTCTATTTGTGTATTGTTTTCCCAATTTTAGCTGTCATGGTAAATACTTTCATTATTGCTCAGCATATTAACTTAAAAACAAGGGAGAGTTCTTAGCATGTGAACACAGTCTTAATGGTATCATTGAGAAGTGCAAAGTTTGGATCCTTCAAGTTTTTTTTTTTTTCCCCAAGATGTCAACAGGTTATTTCAATATCATTTTAAAGAAAGTTATAACATCTTCCATCTCAGTTTTTACCATCTGAACAGATAAATGGGATGTTTCTAATATCCTACCCCAAATTCAATGACACTGAACAAAATTTTCATGTTTCAATAGGCAGCTCACATTCTAACAACCTCCATATAGGACCAACAAAAGGAAACATGAAACTGTAGATGCAGTGCTACAAAGCACATGCACTAGTGGTATAATGGATAACTGCTTCTACAAAATATATGCCTGCATCACTATCACAAATATTTTTTGTTTTGGGCTGGCAATGTGGCACAATGAGTTAAGCCTCAGCATGGAGTATCTGCATCCCATATGGGCGCCGGTTCAAGTCCCGGCTGCTCCACTTAAGTAATCGGGCCCCTGTACCCACAATGGAGATCCAGAAGAAGCTCCTGGCTCTTGGGTCTGGATTGGCCCAGCTCCAGCTGTTGCAGCCATTTGGGGAGTGAATCAGTGGATTGAAGACCTTTCTGTCTATCTCACCCCCTCTGTAACTTTGCCTCTCAAATAAATAAATGTTAAAAAAAAAAATTCTTTGTTCCAAAAACAAATTTTAAAGAAAACAACAATAAATCACATCAAAAGAAATTCTTAAACATGAAATACTACTTTTATAAATAACTGATGTTCACAACTGGCTATAAACCAATATTCCATTTTTATCTACCTGGATGATGTAGCAATACAGATTTTTAAAGGAGGGAGGGTTATTAATAATCGCATTCCATACTCAGATTTCTTCACAAGTATTTACTAAAAGGTTGCTCCACTATAAAGAAACTGAATAGAAATCCCACATAGCACACTGAAGTAAGGATGATAGCAGAGACTGCTAAATGATGCACCAGAGAAGGTAGAGAACTGATAATACAATTTCAAACTGGTGGTGGTATCGCTAATCAAACCACTCGCAGCAATGTGCATGTGATCTCCCCATGATTTCACAGGTAAAAAGATATATATGTACACATCTTGCTCTTTAATCTCCTTCAAATATTTCCTCAAAACATAGTTTCTTAGGGGTGGGCATTTGGCACAGCATTTAAGACAATGCCTGAGACCCCCATATCCCGTATCACAGTGCCTGCCTTCAAGTTCTAGCTTCCTGCTAATGTGCACTCTTGAGAGGTAGCAGTGATGTCTCAAGTACTTGAGTCCCTGCCACTCATTCTCATGGGAGACCCAGATTCAGTTTGCCTTACAAGATGGTTTCAACAGACTTATCTCCCTGGAGTTCTCAATATATGTAAGATTAGTAGAAGAAAAACTTACTATAAACTATATTTTTCTTCCACTAATCTTACATATACCAAACAAAGTATAAGAAAATATGATTATCAGTGTATTGAAGCACAAATCACTAAATGATCTAAAAATAAAATCATCTCTGACATAATCTATTTGCACACCCAATTTTCTATCAGAGACTTGTACCTTCTCTGCTCAGCCTTTGTCTATTGTAAGCACTGATATTTATTGAGGCAAATAATTCAACAATTTCAAAGGAGCCCATTGAATATAAACGCCCATTCTACAAAAGTATTTTCATTTATCTTGTTTATAATGAGACTATGAAATCATTAGAAGTTATGATTTCATATTTATATATCAAAGGAAGGCGTCCAAATTCATTAATCGTGTGATGTGTGCCTGAATTGGAGTGCTGTGTGGTCACGTACAGAGAAAATTTTAAGATGTTAAAGTTTGCAAAACTAAGTTGAAAAACACTGTAAAACAAGCAAACAAACAAAAGTTTGAACATCATATCCTTGCAAAAAACCACATTTAAACTTCAAAGCCCTGAAAGTTACAGTTTACTATCTTCTGTAACATGCTAATTCATGGTCTAAATTTATTCACCACCTTCCCTAAGAATTCTGGTGAGGCTCAATGATGCTCACCTCATGGATGAGAATGACAGCACTGAGCACAGAAGATCAAGGAACTATTCTAAGGTAACAGAATACTGGGTTAAAGTTAAAAAAAAAAAAAAAAAAAGGTTAAAACTCAGCCTGCCAAAGCCCAGTACTCTTTCCACAATCTGTAATGATTTTAACAAAATAACTTGCTTTATTAAATTTTTACCACAATCCTTCAAGTAGGGAGGATAAATTAAAGAACAATAAAGTTTCTGACATAAAGTTAGAAAAAGAGGTCAATAAATACTTTTTATATGGAGAGAAGTAATTTTCTTAATATACTCAGATAATACAAGTTGGTAATACCTAGTGACATTTAAAAAACCAGATCAGTTACTTGCTATAAGAATGAACATCTACAGGACAAAATATCTTACTTAAATATATGTAAATAAAAATTAACTCAGGGCTAGCACTACGGCACAGCGGGTAAAGCTGCTGCCTCCAGTGCCAGCATCACATATGGGCACCAGTACAAGCCCCGGCTGCTCTACTTCCAATCCAGCTCTCTGCTATGGCCTGGTAAAGCAGCAGAAGATGGCCCAAGTCCTTGGGCCCCTGTACCCATGTGGGAGACCTGGAGGAAGCTCCTGCCTTCAGACTGGTATAGCTCTGGCCATTGTGGCCATCTGGGCAATGAACCAGCGGATGGAAGACCTCTCTCTCTCTCTCTCTCTGTATCTCTGCCTTTCAAATAAATTAACTCAGAATCTTACCCCTGTTGCCTGTAGATGTTGCCTGAATTCATCCATAGTTGTGTTTGAGATGCTCATATCTCTAAACATTCCTTCCAGTTTTGATGTGAACTGACATCCACATTCAGTCTGTGGAGGAAAAAGACAAACATACACAAATAATGGTTAAAGAACCTACTCCATGTTACTACCACCCCTGATAATGTCCTTCGTAAATCTTTCCAACAGTTGCTCTATACTTGTGGTCACCAAACTTCAATTTAAGAATAAACCAAGGATTTTATTTTGAAATGCAGATTTCTAGACTCTTTCTAATTCTAATATATAGACATGAAAGGTATGGCCCACAGTTCTGCATTTTTAACAAGCATCTCAGGTGATTCAGGTTCAAATAGTCTTTGGACTACACACTGTCATTTAAAATTATATAGTAATATTCTCTTTACAGTTTTGTTTTTATTATTCCACACTCAGACCTCAATGAATATAAGCTGACACATCAACACAAATTCCAGAGAACAACGAATGTCCCAGAACTTGAACAAATCTAAAGATAGCCTGTGTCCTACTCAAAAGTTATCTTTATTAGTTTCTGAAACAGACACTGAAAATCAAGTAACTCATTTAAAATCACATGTTGGAGTACCACTGTGATAAGTTAGGGGCACTCCACTGATCCCACATACATCTTACCTTTAGCTTGGATATCATGTTTTTTTCAGAGTCATCAGACACACTTTTATTTGTGAGCAGTCTCCTTGCCAAGTGTTGTTTATAATAACGTTCAAATACATCTTTTTCTTGCATAAACCTGAAAAGGACCATTGCTTTATCCAATATTGTTTCTACTTCTTGTTCTGTTAGCTGCAAAATTAAAAGACAATTTAACAATTAAAAAAATTTAGTTCTACAAAAATAGCATCACAGTTTGTCTATGTTTAAAACAGTTTGAAAGCAAATGTAAGCATTTGGTTGAAATTTTTGATTGAGAGGGACATAGTTGTTCTACCTCATCTAGTGCCAACATTAACAAAGGGCTGGAATGGAATTCAATTCTCCCAGATTACCACTGAAATGGAGGTATGAGATAATACAAGGCTGGATTAAGGGATGACTAAGAAGTAAAATTTTGGGGCTGGCACTGTGGCAGAGTGGGTAAGGCGCCCCCTTCAATGCCAGCTTCCTATATGGGTACTGGATCTACTCCCTGCTGCTCCTCTTCTGATCCAGCTTTCTGCTATGGCCTGGGAAAGCAGAGGAGGATGGCCCAAGTGCTTGGGCCCCTGTGCCCTCGTCGCAGGATCCAGAGGAAGCTCCTGGCTTCTGGCTTTGGGTCAGCTAAGGTCTGGCTATTGTGGCCATTTGAGGAGTGAACCAGCAGATGAATGACCTTTCTGTCTGTCTCTCCCTCTGTCTGTAACTCTACCTCTCAAATAGATTAATAAAATTTTAAGTAAAATTTTAGCTACACAATTTTATAAATTTAAAAAGTCAAGGAAGCTTTTTATTTAAGCTCATTCAAAACCTAAATGTTGCAAACAAAAGGGTGAAAGTTTGTAACAACTGAAATAGTAATAATTTGTTATAATTGAAATATAACAAGGCAAGATGATACTGTGGCAGGCTGTATTAAGTTTATATTTTTAAATGAAAGACTAAACGTATATGTAATTAAAATCTTTTCAACAGTGTGTATACTCAGTGGTCTTATTTTGTTGTTATACTACTTACTGCATGAAAAACCAGTGGCTATTTTGCCCCTTTGTCTCACAAATTCCAACATGGAGTTAAAAAAGCTCCATTCAGGGGTAAGCATTTGGCACAGTGTTGAAGAGTCTACTTAGGATGCCTGCATCCCTTGTCAGAGTACCTGGATTTGAGCTCCAGCTCCATTTCGAAGCAGCTTTCTGCTAATGGCTAATGCACACCCTAGGAGGCAACGAGGGATGACTCAAGTACTGAGCCCTTGCCCCCAACATGGGAGAACGGCATGAGTCCCAGGCTCCTGTCTTCGGCCTGGTCCAATCAGTCCCAGCTGTCACTGGCATTTGGGGAATGAACCAATAAATGAGAACTCTGTCTCTATGACTTTCAAATAATAGCAATAAAATAAATTTTAAAATCATGTGATCAAAATATGTTTAATTTGACTTTTGATGCTATAGGGAGCTCCCAGAGTCCGAGAGATATATAATAAGGTTTTAAAATTGAGCTTCAGGAGCTGGTGTTGTGGCACAGTGATATAGGACACCACCTGCAGCTCATGTGTGCAGGTCTGAGTCTTGGCTACTCCACTTCCAATCCAGCTCCCTGTTCATGCACTTGGGAAAGCCACAGAAGGTGGCACTTAGGCTATGTCACCCATATGGGAGACCAGGATGAACTAAGTCCTTGGCTCCTGGCTTTGGCCTGGTCCAGTTCCAGCCCCAGTGGCCACTTAGGGAGTGTTCCAGCAGATCTCTCCCTCCTCTCCCATCTCTGTAACTCCACCTTTCTAAAATAAGTAACTTTGTTTTAAAAAATGAGCTTCAGTATATGTTTTCCAACTATTTTCAGAGAAGACAGTTGTTGTTCTACCCTGGGCTTCAAATTCTTAGAATCTAAGGTCTGATACGTAATCTCCAAAACCAGATGATAGAAAGGAACATTCCATACCTACTGAAGAGCTATTCAGTTGTTGATTTTAATTTATTTGAGAGGCTGAGAGAGACAGAAAAACAGATACAGGGGGCTGACACTGTAGTATAGTGGGTAAAGCCTGCCAACTGTGATACTGGCATCCCATGTGGGTGCTGGTTCGTGTCCCAGCTGGTGCACTTTTGACCCAGATCCCTGCTAATGGCTGGAGAAAAGCTGCAGAAGATGGCCCAAGTATTTAGGACCCTGTACCTACATGGGAGACCAGGATGAAGCTCTTTATTTCTGGCCTGACCTACACCTGGCCATTGTGGCTACCTGAGGAGAATACCAACAGATAGAAGATCTCACTCTCTGTCTCTCCCTCTCTGCAATTTTAAATTCTGCAAATGAATAAATAAATCTCAAGAATAAGAGGAAAAGAAAAAAGAGAGATAGAGAAACTTTCTTATCTGCCGGTTTAAATGCTAACAATGTAAGGTCCCCCATGTGGGTGACAGTAATCCAAATGCTTGGTCCATCACCACTGCCTTCCAGGGTCTGTGTAGCAGGAAGCTAGGATAAGGAAACAAAGCCAGGAATTGAACCCAGGTATGATACAGAATGCAGGTGTCTTAAATTCACCAGGCTAAATGCTGCTCAACTGTTTTATCTATAGAATACCCAATTCTCACAGGCATAAAGATAACTGTTTAATAATAGCTGGGTAATTCTTATGATGTCAATTTATACACTAAGAGAAATGTCAAGGTATTCCTGATCACAGTAAATATAAACAGTATTTTCTAACAGATTACAGCATGTGTTATAAGAATAAGCAGGGTTTTAAATGTTTAAAATTTCCTGATTTTTGTATCTACAAATAAAATTTAATGCATTTTCACTGCATTACTACTTACCCCTTTGACTCCCTTTTTCAGCTTATCATCAATAAATAATGAGAGGTATTCGGGAGACCTGGAGTTGAGGTTGAGAAAATACTCAAAGTCACCCGCAATAGTTTGTTTAAAGAGCCGGTCATTATTGAATGATTCCTGGAGGAAGCGATCAAACCTACTCTTCAGATCCAATAGGCCCTTATAAATAAAAATGAAGAAATTTAGGACACATTATAATAATTCTTCCATAAATAATATACCTATGACTATGTATATCTTATTTCTTTGCTTGTAATAAACATATGTACTTATTGTTAAACTTATAGATTCTATATTATTATATTCAAGAGTCTGTATGAAAGACCATATTAAAAATCTCAGGGGATAGGGTAGTAGTCTATCTTCCATGTATAAGTATGGATTACTCTACTGGAGATGAAACAAAGCACCTCCTCACTTTTCATCTCACGCTCCTATGTGTTGGCTGAAGGGTTATGCAGACAGAAAATCAGGCTAACAATGCACAAAAAAGCTAATTGTTTTTATGAAAACACAATTAACTCAGAATATAATTTATTCATAGCAATGCTTAAAAACAAAACATCTTGAAACAAAAAGTATTCAACTAAAATACAGGTACTTTTCCCTAACATACTAAATAATTAGACTAAGACTATTAAACTAGGTCTTCATCAGAGAAGTTAGAAGAAAAACAGCAGCTCAGTCTGCCTCAGGTATTTGAATACCATGAAAAATCCTAAAATAGTTAGGCTAATTACATGTATAAATCTACCACTGGGATAATTATATTGAAAGGACACAGAAAACTGATCTTCTGTCATATTTTGACAAATGCCTTTGTTGTAATCTTAGAGATTCTTTTGTGTTTACTTACCTGGATATAGTCAACAGGATTTTTTCCTTCTCCTTCCTCAGAAACAAGGGCTTTACCTTGCTCCCTCAGATAGGAACTCATACACTCACACATTGTTTTCAAACCATTTGGCACACGACTAAATAACTTGTACATGCAAGCAAGGTCTACAATCAAAAAGAAAACACAAATTAGCTATATTAAAGATTAAAGAACAAAATCTGCATCTGTGTTTCAAGTTGTTACTGCGAGAAAATATTATTTCTCCATTAACCACCATTTGGTGAACATATGACTATTTCTATAAAACAGCAAAATGAAAAAAATAGGTTAATAGTTATTCTCACAATTTGTTAAACATAAACTTTAAATGAGATGCTGTGGAAATATCAATAAAATGACTTGGCATTTTTTTATTCACATTGAAGATTCCCAAAGAGAATGTGGATATAACACAAAAACTGTAGTTTTGAGTTAACACATGATTTATCCTCTTTAATGTGGAGTCTACTGATATTATAAAGGAGAACTTAGTTATAGTATAACTGTTAGTTAACATAAGAAATTTACAATTTAAAATCTTTATAGGTATGGGGCTGGCGCTGTGGTGTAGTGGGTAAAGGCACCGCTTCCAATGCTGGCATCCCATATGAGCAGCAGTTTGAGTCCCAGCTGCTCCACTTCCGATCCAACTCCCTGGTATGGCCTGCGAAAGCAGTGGAAGATGTCCCAAGTCCTTGGTCCCCTGCACCCACAAAGGAGACCCAGAAGAAACTCTCTGCTCCTGGCTTTGGATTGGCACAGCTATGGCTGTTGCAGCCATTTGGAGAGTGAACCAGCAGATGAAGACCTCTTTCTCTACCTCTACCTATGCCTCTTTATAACTCTTTCAAATAAATAAATAAATCTTTTAAAAGAGAGTTACTAATCAGTATGACAATCGAATGATACAATGAGATTTACTTCATTACATCTCACGGTAACAGACATGAAATTTATAATATAAATAACTGTTCTTTAATATTTTCCTCAGAGTAACAGCTAGTTTTACCATGTGGTATCTTAGGCCAATGTCTGTATTTTAAAAACTGGTTTATCTCACACTATTGTTTTTACTTAGAATGAAAAGTCTAGTACCCACCTATTTCTGTGCAATTTTCCACAAAACTGTAATACACATTTAAAATACTGTTCTTCCATATGTCTAATATTTCTGTGAAATAAGCTGATATCCTACTAGAAATAGCTGATAGCCTATTAGAAAGTTATATTACAGCAATACAACTTTTAAAAATGGAGTTAGGGGGACTGGCACTGTGACATAATAGGTAAGGCCACAGTCTGCAGTGCTGGCATCCCAAATGGGAGCCAGTTCAAGTCCTGGCTGCTTCACTTCCAATCCAACTCTCTGCTATGACCTGGGAAAGCAGAAGATGGCCCAAGTCCTTGGGCCTCCACACACATGCAAGGAGACCTGGAAAAGGCTCCAGTCTTTGGATTGGCCGTGCTCTGGCCTTTGTGGCCATTGCAGGAGGGAACCAGCGGATGGAAGACTTATCTCGCCCTATTTCTGCCTCTGCCTTGGTAACTCTTTCAAATAAACAAATAAATCTTAAAAAAATATATAAATAAATTTAAAAAAAAAAAAAAAAGGTTAAACCTCCGCCTTCAGTACCAGCATCCTATATGGGCACTGGTTTCAGTCCTGGCTGCTCCACTTCCAATCCAGCTCCCTGTTAATGAACCTGGGGAAGCAGCAAAGATGGCCCAAGTACTTGGACCACTGTACCCATATGGGAGACCAGGAAGAAGCTTCTGGCTCCTGCCTTCAGCCTGGCCCAGCGCTAGCCGTTGCAGCCACTTGGAGAGTGAACCAGAAGATGGAAGATCTCTCTTTCTCTACTTCTATCTCTGCCTTTCAAAAAAAAAAAAAAAAAAAAAAGGAGTTAGAATAATAGTTTCTAGATTCTGGTTGACTAATTTTTTTCTGCTTAGCACCAGAGAGTAATAACTATTTTTGGCTGGTGGGTTAGAAGGTATCTGATGTAACTATTCAATATTGCCATTGTAGCAAGAAAGCTGAACAGAGATAAAGCATAAACAAATGAGTATGCCTCAAATAAAATTTTATGGACACTGAAAACTGACAAACATTTTCATGTGTCAAAGTATTCTTCCGATTGTTTTTCAACCAAAACAGACAGCAGGTCAGATTTCGTAGACAGGTCATAATTTGCCTACCTTGCTCTATTTTGTAAGAGCAATTTAGACCTTTAAAGTTGTGGGGTGAGGTTTCACCCAGAGGTTAAAACACCACTTGAGACATCTGCATCCCATATTAGAAGGGAAACTCTGCTTCCTTTCCAGCTTCCTGCCAAGGCACACCCTGGGAGGCAGCAGAACATAGCTTAAATACTTGGGTCACTGACACCTACATGGGAGATCTGGATTAAGTTCCAGGTTCCTGGCTTCTGCCTGCCATAGCAGGCATTTGAGGAGTGAACCACAGGGTGGAAGATGTATTTTTGCCTTTCAAGAAGAAACAAAAATTTTAAAAAACTGAAATTGTATACATTTTAAAAGTATTTAAAACCAAGTTTTACAAAAGGAACTTTGAAATGTTTTAATAGCAAATTTTATTCATTTTTAAAGATTTATTTATTTGAAAGTCAGAATTACATATAGAGAGGGAAAAAAAGATTTTTCCATCCGCTGCTACACTCCCCAGATGTTCACCAATAGCTAGGGATGGGCCAGGCCAAAGCCAACAGCTTCACCTGCATCTCCCACATGGGTGCAGGGGCCCAAACACTTGCGTCATTTTCTATTGCTTTTCCCAGGCCATAATCAGGGAACTGGATTAGAAGTGGAGCAGTGGGTCATGGAACGTCACCTGTATGGGATTCTGGCATCACAGGTAGTGGCTTTACTGGCTATGCCACAACACTGGCTGATAGCAAATTTTCATTAATTTTCTTTAAAGATTTATTTATTTACTTGAAAGTCAGAGTTACACAGAGAGAGAAGGAGAGGCAGAGAGAGGTCGAGAAGTCCTCCATCTGCTGGTTCACTCCCCAGATGACCACAATGGCCAGAGCTGCGCCGATCCAAAGGCAGGAGCCAGGAGCTTCTTCCAGGTCTCCCAAGAAGGTGCAGGAGCCCAAGGACTTGGGTCATCTTCTACTGCTTTCCCAGGCCATAGAAGAGAGATGGATCAGAAGTGAGCAGCCGGGACTCAAACCGGCGCCCATATGGGATGCTGGCACTGCAGGCAGTGGCTTTACCTGCTACGCCACAGTGCCGGCCCCAAGTTTAATTAATAATACATAACCAAAGTAATCTACAAATGGTAAATCTTATAGTATCTCACAAACAAACGTTGTCAAAAAGTTGAAGGAAAATGCACATGCATAGCATCTTTTATTTTTTTAAGTGAGAGGCAGAAGTAGGTGCAGGGCAGAAGAGCAGAGACAGGTAAGAGAGAGTTCCCATTGTTTGGTTCACTCCATAAATGCCTATAATGGCTGTGGTTGGACTAAGCTAAAGCAGCAAGCCAGGAAATCAATTCTGGCCCTGAAGACAGGTGGCAGGGACCCTGTCACTTGAGTTATCACCTGCTGCCATCAATAGTTCATGTTAGCAGGAAGGTGGAATCAGCAGTGAAGGTGGACTCAAACCCAGACACTCAAATACAGAACATGAGTATCCCAACTGGAATCTTAACTATTACAAACACACATTTCACATATCTTTTAATTCCATTTTTCCACAATCTTTTTGAAGTACCTTCATATTCTTCATAAATTATAATCAAAATTCCTGTATGAAAAATAGACATTTTGGGAGTGGGTACTGTGACACAGAGGGTTAAACCGCTGTTTGGGAATTCCTACACATCTTATCTGAGTGCCTATTATGGTCCTGGCTCCTCCTCTTCTGATCCAGCTTCCTGTTAATGCCACTGAGAAAGTAGCAGATAATGTCCCAAATACTTCAGTTCCTGCCACTCATACTGGATACTCAAACGGAGTTCTGGGCTCTTGGCTTCACACTGGCCCAGCCCTGGTTGCCGCCGGTATAGGGAGAGTGCACCAGCAGATGGAAGATCGCGCTCTCTCTCTCTGCCTTTCAAATAATGAATATACAAATGTTACGCCTTTTAAAAATAGGTGTTAAAATTGCAATAGCTATTTATGAATATGTAAAATAGTAAATTTGACATAAATACCTCTAACAAAATAGTTGCCCACTTGAGTATTTTGTGTTGTTATAAATTTTATTTAGATATTGCATGTTGTATGAGATACTTTCACTGTACTCATTTAAATGTATGAGGTAGTAGAGAATGGAAAAGTTAATGAAAAATATTTGAAATTCAAAAATCAAGTATCATTATTTCTATATACACTTAATAAGACAATAAAAAGATACCATTTGAACTTAATTTCATAGTGCTGTCTGCATCTAATAATCCAACTTTATCTTCCATTCACAGTGACAAAGTTGTCTTTTACTTTCTGATTTATGAGAATTTGGCTTCATAATGATGAAGTTGTGTCTCTGATATTCTTTCAACATACTGCTCAAGAGCAGGGCCTACCACAATTAAGACATTTCACAATTAGGTTTCCAGCAGCAGTTCAAATAAATTGAAGGCAAAATTGAAAAATTTAATTTAGAGTCACAAATACTTGCTGAAAACATTAAGTAAGTATGTTAGGCATAATTAATACCTTTAACACAAGTCTCCATGCAGGTTATAGAGATGGTATTAATTCAGGAATATCCCAACAATCTCTTCATCAAACATTTCCTAGCCCTAATCTTTTGAGTATTTAATCACCTCTCCCCACACATTCTAAAGGTAAGCAGGAAAGCACTAAATCAATCCTTGAATAGTACATCAGTTAATATAGACAATCATTCTCACTTTTCATAAAGTCCTACTCAGCCAGGGCTCATCAAATTACAGCCTGTGGACTGAATACAGGCTGGCACTTATTTTTATCAGCTCATAAATTAAGAATGGTTTTCACATTTTTTAATGGTTGCAGAAAATATTAAAAGAAAAATATTTAGTGACATCTGAAAATCCAATAGTTTTATACGGACACAGTCAAGCATATTCATTTGAGTTACTGTCTAAGGCTACATCCTCACTATGACAGCAGAGATGAGTAATTGAATGTATAGCCTCGGAGCCTAAAATATTGACTAGCTTGTCCTTTACCAAAAGAACTTCACCTATCCCCGGTTTAAACGTTACAAGAGTACCTTATTTTATAAAACATGGCAAACAAACTAAAACATGATTTTTGTTTTGTTTTTTTGCTTTTACCAAACAAGTTTATCAGACAAATCCTATTAGAAGTTTCTGATTTAATAAAAACAACAAAGTTACATACAACTTTTATGAATTTGTCACATATACAGAAATGTAACCATTAAAAAACACAAGGCAAGAATTTCACTAGTAAAAATAGATGGGCCAGCGCTGCGGCTCACTAGGCTAATCCTCCGCCTTGCGGTGCCGGCACACTGAGTTCCAGTCCCGGTCGGGGCACCGGATTCTGTCCCGGTTGCCCCTCTTCCAGGCCAGCTCTCTGCTGTGGCCCGGGAGTGCAGTGGAGGATGGCGCAAGTACTTGGGCCCTGCACCCCATGGGAGACCAGGAGAAGTACCTGGCTCCTGCCATCGGATCAGCACGGTGCGCCGGCCGCGGCGGCCATTGGAGGGTGAACCAATGGCAAAAAAAGAAGACCTTTCTCTCTCTCTCTCTCTCTCTCACTGTCCACTCTGCCTGTCAAAAAAAAAAAAAAAAAAAAAAATAGATGAGTAATCCCCTCCTCCTATCAGTTTTCTTTTCCTTTCTTATGCACCTTCCTCCCTTTGCAACTCTTCTTTGAAAAACTGTTTCCTGGATAGGTGGTTAGCCGAGTGGTTAAGATGCCAGCTGGCATGCCCACATCTGGGTTCTGGCTCTCAGTTCCAATTCTAGCTAAAATGTACTCTAGGAAGTAGCAGGTAATGAATGGCTCAACTAATTGGGTTCCTGCAAATGATGTTGGAGACCTAGATTGATTTCCCAGCCAGTTCCCAATTCAGGCCAGGCTCAGCTCCTGCAAGTTTGGACATCTGGGGATCAGCAGGAAGGGGGCGTTCTCTCTGCCTCTCACATAAAGATGTTTTTCATTCCCTGCTTCTTAGGTCATGAACCCAATAGGAAACATGTATTTCCTTTAGTAAGGATAAATGGCTAAGTTATTGCTAAGATTTCATCAAGGAAAGAAAGCAAGAATAAATCATGCTTACTTATGTTTATTACCATTATCAGTAGTTTAGAAAGTGAAAAATTTAAATTTTAGAAGAATGAGATCCTTTGATTGTTGTTGTTCTACTTCTAATATTTCTCCTAGGCTGCTCAATATTTTTTTTTTTTAAACAGGAAGAAAAAAGCCCTAAAGAATAAATGTTACAATTAGGTCAAAAATGCTTACCTTTAATTTCTGTAATTTCTACTCCTTTTCTACCAGTCTATCACTTCAGAGTTCCTCCAAACCAATCTATTAGTTTTCCTAAATATGTCAGTATTTTTATTTAGCTTCACCTTCAATAATTTAGTTGGTTTGAAATTGTAAAGTTTCAAGTTTTCATTAATAGGAAATTACAAGTCAACAAGTACTAACAACATTTGAGAAATATGTATAATGGAATCACACATATCCCTGTATGTATTTTACTAATAATTTAAACAAACTTATTTTTACATTTTGGCTCACTTATCAAAATTAAGTTCCACAGAGAATCCTACAGAAATTTTAAAATGTGGATTTCAGATTTTAAAAGAATCACAAAAACTTTGAGAGTACATGGGCATAGTAAGAAGCCAAATCCACCACTATATAAAAATAAAATACAGAAATGAATAAGGAGCTCAACTACGAGTCACATCAATATTATTAAACCTCTTACTGTCCACATAAGAAAAACACAAAGTGAGGAGACTTGAGGGATAGGAGAAAAAGAAAAGTCATTCAATTCACTAGAACTACCTAAAATTGTAAAAAAGAAAGTAACAAGGTAATAAATTAATGACACAAACCACAACTTCCTGAAAACCGACATTTATAATCTACTTTAATTGCAGAAGAATAAAAAAATTGATAGGTCATATATGAATTTAACTGATTTTCAACTGGTAACACACCTACCTTCTGTCTTTCCATTTTTCAACATATGGACTAGACCAGAATTCTCCATTTCTACTATAGTCTTCATGTGCTTGGAAATGAGTTCCCTCTCAACCACTTTTACAATTGGTTCTTCAGTTGATTTGTCAAGGCAGTGCATCACCCGTTCTATTTCTTCATTAATTCTAGCTTCTACTTTCTTTATATATACGGAAGCACTGTTCTCTGCTAAAAATTTCTGGCTTTCCATCTGTAATTAATAAGAATGATTTTTTTTCCTTTAAAATGCAGAAGGTATTTATTGGGTTTCTACAGAGTTTTCTCATAAATCAGCCTAAATAACCTAAAGATTATCAATTTTTATATAATTTCCCCTATGTAAATTCATACATAGTCTGAATTATATCATTTAAAGCATGTATTTCCATTAATACATTATCTCTAAACAGTATTCTTAAAACTATGCCAATATAATTCAAATAGTAGAGAAAGCAAACACTTGATAGTTAAGTGTCCTAAGTATTGGAGTGAAAAATCTGACCCTCCCCCCTCCTAAGAATTGATTTGTTTTAATGTAAAATTATAACTAAAAAGAGTCATCATGTTTATTTTAAAGTTCTTGTGCTATCCCACTGATAGTATCAAAGGAGTACATATACTGGGAAACAGAGCATTTAAATAATTACTAATCTTGTCTGCTAGCACTAGCCTTACAGAAGTTCCACCAAATTACAAATGCCATGCCAATTGATTTTAATCTACATGATAGCATTAATGAGCATTTAAGCATTATATAATGGAATTCACACTGATATAAACTATGTACAATGTTCAATGATATTTCCTACTTCCTTAACAAAAAGTAGTTTTAATCCTTGAGGATAATCAAGTTCCTAAGAGCAGACACCAATACACCAAACAAAAGTCTACGTGAGACCATCTATCTAGTGACCATTAAATAACTGTGTGTTTGTGTGTGTCTATGTATGTATTTATGCACACAAATATACATGTCATTTTAGAATCTTGATATACAAGTGATGTATCTTCCTCTAGTGTTTATACACTGTAGTGAAATTAAAAATTTGCAAAGGTCAAAAATACTGTCAAAAATGTCTAGATTATTTGATATAATACAATATAAAGAATATTTCCTACATTATAAATTAACAGCTCATAAAGGATGGTCCTAGCTCACCAGTATAGCCAAACATCTTCATGGTGGGCTATAAACTGATTTATGGGGAAGGGAAATAGGTACCAAGTCCATTCTTTGTTTATGGGTAAACAATACCAAACTCCACCCAGTTCCATTTTGTATACACCTAGTGTCTCTTATGAAGAAACTGATAACTTTGAATTTTATATATTTTTAAAAAATGTTATTGGAGTAAAATTTTTAAATTAACATTTTACTAAGACTTCTGTTTTGGCAAAAACTGCAAAGCTCCTCAGGTGAAATGCTCAGTTATGAATTTCAGGAAGATGCCTGGTTATCATTACCTTACAAATGTTTTCTGACATTTATCAGTACTCAATTACTGTTATTGCCATCATTTCATGATAGAAGAGTAGTAATTTTGTACTTACCTGCCTATATTTTCCTAAACAACAACTCCAAAAGCAAATATGCGTTATGGAATCATGCATATTACAATATACTTTTTACTAATAATTAATATCAATTAAAGCCTACACAGTAAGAACTTCATTGGTGAAGTGCTACCTTTGAATTTACAGTACTTAATTTGTAACAGAAAATAATGCTAAAGATATTTGTATTTTTATATTTGTAATTTTAAAAACCATGTGTGTAAGTTCAGACTCTTGCATCTGTTATGAATGATACCCTTTCCTGGAATATGGGAATGTGGGGTATGTGTGCAGAAGGTATTTTCTGAATCCCTTAGAATCCCAATACGTCTCAGTCAAAAAAGGTCAAAAGGTTTACATAACTATAATCAAAAATATGAAACCATTTTAATGTGCATTTGTTTATATCTTCACTGATTACCTGAAAAAATTCTGCAGACATTTCCAAAAAAGGAGCCTCAAAATCTTCTTCATAGACTGATCTTCCTTCAAGACCTAAAATCATTAACATCTGGCAAGCATTTCTTATTGCGCCTCTGTCAAAAGAAGTTAAATCACTTGATAGTCAAATTATATTAAGATTCATATGAAAATGCAAAAGTAATTAGAAATACTGTAGAACTTTACTTTTATCAAGGTGATCACTTTCCCATAAGCAACTCATTTATAATGTAATAATGTAGTACAATTTTTAAAACTTTGAGAGGCAGGTGGGATGGGAGAGGGGAGAAAGAAAGAGAGGAGAGAATGGGAAGAGAAAGAGACAGACACAGATCTTCCATCTGATGGCTGATTTCCCAAATGCTTGCAAAAGCCAGGGCTGGATCAAGCTAATTTCAGGAGCTGGGAACTCAATTCCGGGTTTCCCACATGACAGACAGGGACCCATGTACTTGAGCCGTCACCTGCTGTCTTTCAGGGTACACAGACAAAGGAATATGGAATCAGGAGCTGGGACTCAAACCCAGGCACTCAGATTCGAGATGCAGGTGTGCAAAGCAACATCGTAACTGCTTTTCCAAATGTCCTCCCCTAGAGTAATTTTGTTTAGAAAGCATACCTTGAATGCACAGCTATTTACCTCAAGTTGTTTACCCTGCTATAACTTAGAACTTTTAAAGAAAATGTTTAAGGAGTCAAATATTTCTATATGTAGAAGCAGGAAAGTGAGAGAAGTGTAGATAAGCAGGTTGGGATGTATTTATTGCCAGACATGGATTTACAACATACAGCTACTCGTAGGCTATAAATTTTTCTGCACTAAATGACTTTTGGGCAATATTTATAAAACACCAGAACTGAAATGATAATAATTTTGCAAGTCTTCATCTAACAGCTGCATAAAAACAGAGAAGGAGAGAAAGCAATCTTACATGTTTAAAGTCATTCTAGCTGCAGCATCACAAATATGGCATGGAAATCATATCAGGAAGGGGGATGGAATATGACTGAGAAGAAGTATAGTAGTTCTTAGTCATTTTAGATTGTGTTCAACATTTTTCTTCAAAAATGGTAAGAATGAAAGCTAGATCAATGCCCTTAAAGAAAATAAGTAAGAGCAGAAATAAAAAATGTTATTATGCAGCAAAAAAGAAACAAAATGTCAGCAGAAAAAAATACGAAAAATCAAAAGGGAAGACTAATGACTGATTTGTCTTTAAAGTTCAAAACAAAAGCTTAGGATGATTGCTTCTAAACATATAACAGGTGTGTTTCAATACTAGGCAACTTTTTAAACTATGACACACAAAGGTTTTTGAGGATTTTAAGCAATGTGATGGATAGTCAAACCTTTCTTAAAGTAAAACCATGACAGCCAATTGGTTCTTCAGATATAACCACTAAAAACCCAAACCACAAGAGTAGAAAGATAAATTATACCTGTCTACAACTTCTCCTTTGCGCTCTCTTGCAATCATATCCAATAGAGTTTGTCGAAGATGATCCCTAATACAACCATAACGCACAACTTGATCTCGAAAAATAATCAATCCCAAATTGTAGACATTCTCCACATTATTTTGTTGTACATATACACGGTCCTGTAGTCAAAATAAAACCATATAAATGTGAATAGTTTTCACAAACATCATTACTATAAGCTACTATAACAAATAAAGCAAATAACATTCCAAACTTAGTTATCTTTCAGGTGAGAAACACTTCAAATTATCCTTAAGCAATCAGGTATTTTCTACTATTTTGTAAGTTATTTAAAAGTGAATCTTTACAATTCGTAATTTTTATATGGTTACTGAAACAAGTCTGACTATAAATAGTTGCCCATTTACGTTAAGAAAAAGAGGTGGGGGAAGGAGAGTTGTAAGCAAGCATCATACCCAGGGACAGAAAGGTAAGCAGACAGCAGAGGAAAAGGCAGACAGTGAGGCAGGCAGATCACACTTTCTCCCCAAAGTTAGAACATGCCCAGACATGGTTCTTTCTTAAAAGCTGTACTTGAAGATCATATTGCTCAAAGTAAAATTGAGAGCTGAAATATGACTTAAGCTGACTGCCACTAGTAAGTATTAAAAGGCTATAACACATTTGGCAGAAAACTTCAAAAAGTTCATGGAAAAGGTAATTAAGAAATCCATGCAGTTTTTTCATATTTCCCATTAACTTTTGAAGACTTGTATGTATGTATGGGTATCAAAAATTTTTTGCAGCAGAATCAACTTTTAAATTCCATATTGCAGGAAGATTTTGAAGTCTCTTCATAACAGCATTAAACATTACATATTTAAAACACCATTAATATTATCACTTCAAACAGATGACTTGTAATCCTCACTTTCAAGTTCTTACTAACTTGATTCTAGGTATCTCACTGTCGATAGTACAGATAATCCAGAATAAAGGGCTATTAAGGTCTCTATTTTATGGATTATTTGAAAAACTTATATTTACGTTGAAATATATTAACATACAACTACTGTTTTTCATGCACAAGGAATTAGTAATATAATCCCTTTCTGTCCTTAAACAAGGGTCTCTATGTTGGCTGATTGTGTCAACATTCTGAAATTATGAAATCATTACGTGTTTATTTGTATGTAAGTACTTTGCAAATAAAACCATAACTTTTACCAGTCTTAAAGAAATCTATAATCAAAGAACAGTTAAATATCATTACAAACACTGATCTTTGAACTTTCTGAAACACTGTATTATATATACAAGCATACTTCAGAAAGTTCGTGAAAACATGAAGCTAAATGTAAGGGTATATTTGAGGACAGAAACAATTTTTCCAACAAAAAGTACTCATACTTGGCTTTTTTAAAAAAATTATCTACATTTTTACAATGTGTTATCACTTTGTTTTTCATGTATGTTTATTTTCATCTACTGGAAAGAAAGAGCGGGCTAGAGAAAGATCTTCCATCCACTACAGCCAGGGCAGGGCCAGGCCAAAGTTAGGAGCTGGGAGCTCCATCCTTGTCTCCCAAGCGGGTAGCAGGGACCCAAGTACTTGAGCCATCATCAGCTGGCACCCAGAATGCATTAGCAGGAAACTGGATCAGAAGTGAAGTAGCCAGCACTCAATCTAGCCCTCCAGTATGGGAGGCAGGCATCCTAGGCTTAACTTGCTGTGCCACAATGCTTACTCCAGTATACATACTTTTAATCCATGTTTCTATTAACTTTTTAAAGTAATTACCTAAAAACTTAAAACATTACAGATAACACCCATCATTAATAATGTAACTACAATGGTATTAACCAATCTTCCAAACTTAATTCTCTATGTGCAGCCTTCATTTTAATACATCATTTCTCCAATTCTCTCTCTTTGTTCATCTTAATGGCATACATCAGTTGGCACAAGGAAGGCTATTCTTTTACTAGAATCTTTGGTGTTCACTATTCTACATTCTCTATAATTTTTGCTCAAGCTCACATTCTTCAAATATTGACATCAGCTCAAATTTTCACAGATGACAGTTTTCACTAAGCTCACATTTTCATCACCAAGATCTTAAATTCAAGTCTTTCTCTGACTACAACACTCCTTTTTTTGATGGTTCCCATCCTCTCTGAACCTCCTCTTTACTCTTTAAAGATTACTTATTTGAAAGGAAGAGTTACAGAGAGGCAGAGGCAAAGAGAGGGAGAGAGGTCGGCTATCCACTGGTTCAATCCTCAAATGGCTGTCATGGCCAAAGCTGGGCTCAATCTGAAGCCAGGAGCCAGGAGCTTCTTCTGGGTCTCCCACATGGGTGCAGGGGCCCAAGGACTTCCACTGCTTTCCCAGGCCATAGCAGAGAGCTGGATTGGAAGTGGAGCAGCCGGGATGCGAACTGGCGCCCATATGGGATGCCAGCACTGCAGGCAGCAGCTTTAGCCGCTACGCCACAGCGTTGGACCCTCTTTATTCTCATTGTAAACCCCAGGCCCAACTTTTTCTCCACTGTCATCCTATCTTCCTTTCAACATAAAACAAGATGTATGACAAAAAAAAAATGCTGCCATAATATAATAATTTAAAAACCAATGATAATTTTATTATGAAAATAAACATTCTTAACATTACTTAAGGTATTTTAAATACTGATTTTTTACAGTTCTGAATATAAAATTCTGCAGCACAGTAAAGCACTACCTCCTTGGAGAATCACAGTTACCCAATGTAACCAAAACTAGCATCTAGTTGAGTTAAAGACAGATGGTAAAAAAAGGCAACTATTAAACATTTTAAAACATAAATGTTCACTCATTTATCAATGTGTTCTTTGAAAATAAGTTATATAGCTAGAATTATCTTTCTGATAGATATCCTCACATAATATATTGCCATTCTTGGTTTCAATAGAGCATGAACTAGAGACATGTAAGTATTAACAAGAAGTATAACTGGCATAAAAATGCTTGAAAACAATACAACTTTCAGTAAGCACAACAGAATAGAGAAGGATCTAAATATGTGTGAAGTTTCACAGCTAGAACAGGAAGTACTGGTAATTTTAGTCAAGTACTTTAAGTTTCAACTACACAAGGATTCTTCAAAATTTCAAGGAAATATGGCTGCTGATTCACATACTGGCTGCTCCACTTTTGATCCAGCTCTCTGCTAATGGTCTGGGAAAAGCTCCAGAAGACAGCTTAATTATTTGGTCCCCTGCCATTCATGTGGAGACCTAAATGAGGCTTACAGCCTTGGCTTGGCCCATCCCTGCTGTTGTGGCCATCGGAGGAGTGAACCAGCAGATGGGAGATTCTCTCTCTGTGCCTCCCTGGAACTCTTTCAAATAAATAAATAAATCTTGAAAATGCATATTATAAAAAAATTATGCATAGATCTTAAAAATTATTTGCACAAAATAAACTTTTCAAGCAGTGTTCAATGTTTTTGGTGGAAGGGCAAACAGAACATTACCTACAAGAATTTCAAAAGGTTCACACAAATATTCAGTGAATCAATGTTGCAGTCATTTTTTAAACATTCCTTTTTTTTCCCCCCATTTTGCTTTACTCTAGTATAATTTATGTACCATAAAGTCTCTGTTAGGAAGGATAGTGGGAGAGGGAGCAAGGAAGAAAATATCATTATGTTCTTAGAATTGTATCTACAAAGTACACTGAATCTGCTACAAACTAATTAAAATTACTTTTTTTTTAATTAAAAAGTTCATGAGAAAATATACTTCAAGGGAGTGGGTGTTTAGCCTAGCAGTTACCAACTCGTGTTCTGTACTAGAATAACTGGCTTCAATTCCTGGCTCCTGCCTCCAGTCTCCTGCCAATGCAGACCCTGTGAGGCAGCTCACAGTGGTTGCTCAAGTATTGGATTTCTGCCACCCATGTCCATTCCCAGCTGCCGACTTTGGCTACTTAAAGCTGTGGCAGGCACTTGAGAAGTGCATCAGCAGAGGAGGATTCTCTTGTCTCACAAATAAACAAATAGAAAATGTTTTAAATAATACAGTTCAATAATGTAGAGAGATTTCTAGAGTTGTGTGAGCACTGCCATAATCTGGTTCTAGAACATTTCCACTCCCCTAGATAATTCCTCAAGCCTAGGCTACACATCTACACTCCTACTTTCTCTATATATAAATTTCTTTTTCTGGACATTTCATATAATTATGTGTAATCTTTTGTGTTAATTTTCTTTTTTTTAAGTTTATAAGGTTTATTAATGTGGTAATAAATGCAAGTATTTTGTTCTTTTAAGTACTGAACAGTATCCCATTATATGGATATGATTCATTTTGCTTACCCATTCATAAATTGAAATTTTGGGTTACTTTCAATTCTTGTCTATTATGGGTAATGTGACTATGAACATTTGGGTATAATCTTTATGTGGACATTCATCTTCATTTTTCTTTTCTTTTTTTCAAAAAATTATTTCTTTGAAAGGTACAGTTACAAAGAGGTGGGGGAGAGACAGAGAGAGAGAGAAAGAGAGAACACCTCCATCAACTGGCTCACCACCCAAATGACCAAAACATCGAGGGCTGGGGCAGACTGAAGCCAGGAACCAGGAGCTTCATCCATATCTGCAACAAGGGTGCAGAGACCTAAGCACTTAGGCCATCCTCCGCTGCCCTGTCCGGAGCATCAGCAGGGAGCTGGTTTGAAAGTAGAGCAGCCAGGACTTGAACCAGCACCCAAGGGAGATGATGGCATTGCAGGCAATGGCCTTACCCACTATGCCACAATGCTGGCCCCTCATCTTCATTTTTCTTGGTGGGTCCTAAGCATGGATTACTGGGTTGCAGGATTTTTACCAAGCTGTTCTCTAAAGTGGCTCCACCAGTTACGGCAAATTTTTGAATATGAAAATTACACTGGTAAGAATATGAAATGTGGAGTTAGGGATTCTTTTATGAAACCTGACCCTACTCTTAATTTGTTGAAACTCTTAAGTCATCTGGTCCTCAGTTAAACACAGTGGTGCTAAGGAGAATCTTTACAATTTTAATATGATCATCTATGAAGCTTAATTCTCTGACCAAAAATTAATGGTCCATGGTGGGGGATCCAAGATGCACTGCACAACTATTTATTTCCTTTCTATTGGTTATCTATCTCC